GTTTACTTGATTGTTGGTCTGATGTTAATCTATGCTGATCTGGATGTTGATTGCTGGTGGAGAGGTGTTTGGGTCTTTTTGTTCCTTTTTGGGTTGGGTGATAGTCTCTTTTACATAGTCTATAGATGTTGTTAATGTCTATGTGTCTATTGATGGCTTATTTGTCAGAGTGCCAGGCTTCTAGACATTTCCTGGTATTTTTGGTGTCTCTAGTTGGTGTTCGTGGATGCTTTCTGCCAGTCTTCTGCCTGTTTGTCCTACATAGTGGTTGTTGCAGTCCTTACAACCACTGCAACAACCACTATGTAGGACAAACAGGTAGAAGACTGGCAGAATGCATCCACAAACACCAACTAGAGACACCAAAAACACTAGAGAATGTCTAGAAGTGGTTGTTGCAGTCCTTACATTGCATGTTGTAATATTTTACAACATACAGTGTAAGGACTACAACAATCACTATGTAGGACAAACAGGCCAAAGACTGGCATAACACATCCACAAACAGAAGACATAATGAAAATTCTTTAGTTTCAACACTTATAGACAGATTTAACCATAGCTTCAGTTGGAAAAATATGAGAATCCTAGACCAAGCCAAGTCCAAAAATGCCAGGAAATTTCTAGAAGCCTGACACTCTGACAAATCAGAAACTGCGAGCTCTGCAGAAACTAAAATAGTTTATTTGGGGCTTTGAAGGCTCCTAGTTTAATATAACTTAAGTTTCTAGATGTTTGGTGAGAGGGATAGGAGCAGTATTATTATAGTTGCTAATGTGAGTGGGAGTAGAGGGTTTTTTTGTGTGTGCAATTAGTATAATTGTTAAAGTTCAGAAATTAACATGGGAGTTGGTTATGGTTTCAATAATGGTGCCTTTTGAATAGAAGCCCGATAGGAAGGGCATACCTATTAATGAAAGGCTGGCAATGGTAGTGAATTATGAAGTTATTGGTGTGGTTTTTAGGAGGTTGCCTGTTATTTGGACATCTTGTTCGTTATTTAGACTATGAATAAATGAGCCAGAGCATAGAAAAAGAAGTGTTTTAAAGAAAGAGTGTATGTTATATGGAGAAAGGCTAGAGTGGGTTGGTTTAATCCTAGCATTGTTATTATTAAGCCTAGTTGGCTTGTGGCTGATAATGCGATGATTTTTTTAATATTGTGTTGTGTGATTGCTGCGGCATGGTTGTTGTTGCTCCAAGGATTATGCAAGCTGTTTTATGACATGGCTGTTGTGTAAGATGGGGTGAAGTCAAATTAGTAAAAAGACCCCTGCCACGACCATAGTGCTTGAGTGAAATAAGGCTGATAACCCTAATCCTAACCCAAATCAGCATAGATTAACTCCAAGGTTAAGATCAGACCAACCATCAAGTAAACAATACCCCATCAAGAAACTGCAAAAGAAGCCAACAGCAAATAGCCTAACCAACACTGATAGGGAAGCCACTAGAATATAAACTGACAACAAACTATCTTATTAGCACTGATGATGTTATCTAGTTTGGGTAAAGAAACATCTGCTAGAAAACAAACAAGCTCAGAGAGCACCAACAATTCATATCAACACTGAGCTACAAATATTCTCCTTTATTAGTACTATAAAGATTGTTTTGAATATTATTTCTTACTCACCTAAAATCTGTATTTTTGATAAACATTCCCTGCCCTCTTCAACAAAACTGTTAATAAAAATAATGAAGAGTTGACCATCCAAGATTATCTTTTATAGCCTCTTTGCAGTATAATGTCAAATTAGCAAACTTTGCTTTTTGAACACGATTTTATGTTTCTACTTGCTTGTCATGCCATTAAACCCACATTAATTAAATTACTATCATTATCCATAGTACTTTGTCAAAGGCTTAGCTGAAATCAAGGTATATTATGTCTGCAATATTCCCAAGAGGGCATTTTTGGGGTAGGCACCAAGCTAGAAACAAATAATGAGCTGGTCCTACCTTAGATACAAAACCAGTGGGGTGACCTTGGGCCAGTCACTCTCTCAGATCTAAGAAGAAGGCATGGGCAAAGCATTTCTGAAAATCTTGCCAAGAAACTGCAACATCTTGTATAAACAATCACCAGGAATCAATGCTAACTTGAACACACACACACACACACACACACACACACACACACACACACACACACACAAGTATTCCCATAATTTTTAAGGATATTACTAAGAAAAGAATAAATGTAATGAGATTCTTTATTGTGCCTGCCTTAACATAAGTGGAGGAATTAATAAAATCCAAGTTGTTTAAAAACAGACTTTTAAATTGGCTTGAAAATATTAAATAATATTCATCAAAAATTACTCATGAAATGGGGTGCCACAGGATTCATTGTTATTACTCTTAAATGTTTGGAAGAACAGAGGTAATATTTATTTATCACATTTTCAACTCACATAAAAGAACATAAAACCTAGAAACAAAATTCTTAACAGTCTGAAAACTGGGTTGGAAATATCAGAATAAAATTTAATAAAGTGAAATGCGAAGTTCTTTACTTGAACCAAAAGAAGCCTAGAAACATCATAAGAATAATAATGATTATTAATGGTTATCAGATCATAAACTGAATGTGAATCAGCAACCTGACTGCTAAAAAGGCAAATGCAGTTTTAGGTTGCATTGATAGAAACAATTTCCAAATCATAAGTAATAGCAGTTGTATTCAGTATGTTAGCCACTATTTCATGTTCTGAGTAACAAAATTTAATATTAAAAAAATGAAATAATTGCAGAGAAGCAAAATTAAGATAACCTGGAATTTAAAACTAAGTTTGATCAAGTAAATTCCCTTCTCTTTAATTTCTATATAAATTATTTAGTTATATGTCTATATAATAGAGAATATCATTCTCTCTGAGGAAAGATTTCTTTAATTCCCTATGTGTGTATGATGCAGTTATTCTATCATTACTTATCACTGGAATGCAATGAGAACTAAAGATGCTTATTAACTATGCTTAACAAACTATTTACCTTTAATTATAAAGAAGACAAAAGTCTCCACTTTGGCAATTAAAAAATAATATCCTACTATGGCGGTGGTTCTCAACCTGTGGGTTGGGACCCCATTTGGGGTCGAACGACCATTTCACGGGGGTCGCCAAACAAGGCTGTCCGCCATTTTTCCCCCCTTTTCTTTGGCCACGCCCCTGGCACCCAGTGATGTATAAATGGTTGGGGGTCACCACAACATGGGGAACTGTATTATGGGGTCACGGCATTAAAAAGGTTGAGAACCACTGTACTATGGGATCATGATAACGGGAACATGATCAAATAAAGTTGAGTTCTTCAAGCTCAGTAAGGCACATGTAAAGCATTCTCCATAGTGAATCCAATAGTCTCTAGATTCTACTATCAAAGAAGTGGCTGTTAACAACCTTAATATTTATGGATCAAATAGTTCCCCTTGTTTCAGATAAATATATGGTCCTCAATGGAAATAAAATGTAAATGGCAATGTTCCTGCTAATTGTATATTCATAACCACTGTAGAATAATGGATGTGAGTTACTGGAAAACAGTGTATTCCTATTATTTTTTTAATGTAGCAGTTCGATAAAGGAAACAATTAACAGAGGGGTAGTGGGCTCCTCTTTATAGGATGTGTTCAAATAGAAGTTAGAAAGCCATAAGCTTCAATTTGGATTACTCTACTGATGGATGTGAGGGCCAAATACCCCTGTCTAGTTCTATGAAGGCTTGAAGACTTTCCCTGTAATTTCCTCTTTTCTTTTTCTGTGTATGGCATATAGTTTATCACTCTGACTACATGAGAACTAATATATGAAGAAATTATTTATTAATGTATGTAGTGGTAAAGTAGCTTATATGTCTCAGTGACAGTATGAGCTATGCCTTTGGGAATGTACACATTCCCAGAAAGGTCATTCAAAAGCAGGGGTGTCAAACTGCTGGGCCAGATGCGTCACGACAAAATCGTGCCCACCCCATTGCCGGCAATGGGGAAAAAGCTCCGATACATTGTGTGACGTAACGTGACATTGCAAGTTTGACATGTCTGTTCAAAAGGATCTGACCAAGGGTGATGCACTGGGGAAGGAAATGGCATAAAAGACACAGAATAATTAAGATCAGAGAGAACTATGTTCCCCCTGCCCCAAACACTGGGATAGAATGAGACTGGGTCTGAGTGATAGTTATTTACTGGACAGTATTATTTTATGATGCTGGCAATTGTTTTTTGTATAGTGGTTTTTATTGTTTTTTTATTGCTGTTGATGTGAGCTGTCAAGAGTTATGGCTATGAATGAATAAAGAGTATCAGTTTATTTAGTCATTCAATTCTGGGGTTATAATTGAGTGCTGACTTCAACATGCTATTGTCCACAATAATGGCTACTCCATTTCTTCAGTGCTTTTCTTGTCCACAGAAGAAGATGCTATTTTTCTGATGTGATCCATTTTAGGCAATTTTAGATTGCAGATTCTAAAAGTATCAGCACTTCAGTTTGGGTATTTTTATGTTAACAACATGAAGTTTTCCTTAGTTACAGTTTTGACATTCCATGTACAAATGGTACACATGTATCTGCTGTATCAGAATTTTTTTTACCTCTGGCCACATCAGCTATGCGGCCTTACATGAAATAGAGGGAAAGGGAAAGAAATATGAAAATCAACTTAAGAGGAATATTGACGGAAACAATCTTGGCTTAAAGATTGCCTTTTAATTCCAAGAATTTAGTGAAGGAGAGCGATAATGTTCTCTTTATACAGAAATTCTATATATATTTTAAAATCCTGTGTTATAGTAGGAGATACAATCAAGAAATTGGTTTTCTTTCTGCTAAAATGAATTTTAATCATTGCAGACCAGTAATGGAGGAGGGAGTTTAAGTGATTATTCTTCCTCTGTCCCATCTACTCCAAGCACCAGTCAGAAGGAACTACGAATTGATGTTGCACCTACTACTAATACTCCAACACCCGTTCGTAAGCAGTCCAAGCGCCGGTCCAATCTTTTTACAGTGAGTTGACAAAAAGATATTTGATTTCTGTTACCACTGATGTCAACAAATGACTCTGCTTGTTTGATCATGTTACTCTAATCAATTAATCAATAAGCTAACTTCAAAAACCATCTTTCAAGACTGGCTTCTCCTTCCCTGTAGTTAAGAATAACCTCAGTTTGGATGTGATAAAAACATCTAAATTCCATTTTTTCTTATTTTGTATGATCTTTATCATGGTTCTGAAATGCATTGAAATGTATATAGAGTGAGGGAAAACAATTCATACTTCCATCACATACTAAATTCATATTCAGTGCTACATATTCTACCTTTGAAGCAACATAATCTTGTTTTCAGGAATTAGCAGAACTTGGCCCCAGTGATGAGAAAAAGATTGGCTGCTAGGTATTACAGATTGGGGACTTGTTCTTAAAGATTGTCAATTCTTTGACCTATTTAATCAAATTACACTTTCTACTATTCTTTTGTATGGAAGACAGTTCCCTGTGTCTTCTATGGGAGACAGTACCATGTGTCTGCAAATGAAGTCAGTTATTCCAAATAGAACTTACTGGGATAAAAACAATTAACATGGTTTGACATCTTCTAAGGAGATTCCTGCTCCTTTTTTGTTTCACATGTGGCTTAAACCTACAGACATGACTTGTGGAAAACTAATTGAGGACTAATTGACTGAGAAGGGCCATTGCATATTAAACCTTTTAGCTGATGAGTATGTGTTGAGTTTTGAGCATTTCTAGAAAAAGATTGATTGGTTTTGAGCATTTCTAGAGAATTATTCATGTTCCTAGAATAAAGCTCTAACAGCAGGAGTGCAGTATAAATGAGTTTCAGATGAGAGCTTAAAAATATCTCTTGAATTTGGGAGGAACCAATTTTTTAGTTAGTACACATGGAGAGAGATACTGCAAGTGAACTGCTAGTTGGAAATAGCATTTTTAAATAGCCTACATTGTTACATGTGTCCAGAAAACTCTTACGTTGGTTTGCTCATTTTGCCTGCATCTCAACATGGGCAAGTCTGCAGTTGTTTGCAATCTTCTCCACTTACAGATAATTTTCCAATTTTCCAATGATTCATGCCCATTTGTTAGGCAATCTTTTTGAATACCTTCTCAGTTTCATGGGCATGTATAAACTTGTTTCTGAAGGCCTCAGAGAGCTAGGTATGGTAATACCATACACATCTACAATAAAGAGCACATCCAACTAAATATTTGAAGTTTCAATCTGACAGGTTATCCAATTCTTATCTAATAAAGTTTTAATCATGTCTTAGTGCATTGGATTCTAATCATAAGTAGTTGAGATAGTAATCAATATAGGGGTTATTTACTTTTCCTGCATGAGAAACTTGCATTTATATTTATTTTAGTTGCACAACATAAATAGTGCATATATTTGTTACATTTTATCCCCCTTTTCAATATTGCTGAAATGAAGATTAAATATTTGTATGTGAAAATATGTTGAAAAAAGTCAAACATTTTAATGGGGTGTAGTTAGTTTTCATACAATTGAATAATTAAATGGTTACCCAGAAGTCTGTATATTCATATTAGATTTCAAAAGAGAAAACTTTCTAAAACTGAGGAGCTTGGTTAAAAAAAAATGAAGACAAAGGATGATACCGTGAAGCAGTATTTATTTGCTTTGTAATTTTATCTTAATCCACTAGATGTCATTGGGAGTCAAAGAATATAGCATAAGTGAGGCAAACAGAAAGGATGACATTTAAAACTATACTTTTTTATTCAGACTTGTTTAAGAATTTTTGGAAATAATGTACATTGAGGTTCAATATTTCATGGGGCTTCAATGAAGGGAGAATTAGATGACAGACATGGATTCTTCTAAACAAATTTCTATCTATAATGCAGCATACTGGTTTTGCAGAGATACTGTTAAATTTTAGAATTAAATTTGGTAGTTCTAAGAAGAAAAACAAATACAGTAAAATGAGGTACATTTGAAATAATAAGAAACATCAGCAAATAAGACATTGACTTTTTGTACTAGCTTTGAAATATCAAGGTTCTGTTTTGCATATTGTTAGAAAATATTATCATAGTCATTATTCTTTTATTTGAATAAAAGTATTATAGCACAATAAGGAAGTAAAACTGATGAGAAATTTTATAAAAAATTCTGTTTTCTGGCTTGTTCAGTTTTTGTCAGCAGTAACAGAATTGTCAAGGGCTTCAAAATTTCAGTCTTTTGCACTGGCACTAGCTGTAGTAACCTGATATATTAACAAAAAAGAAATATTAAGAAATACTATTTTTCTAAGAATTTATAAACACTGTCATCAGTTTTTATAGATTCTTAGAAAAAATAGTATTTCTTAATTATTGTTTTGCAAATACAGTTTTGAATAGTCAAAGTGGCATCCATTTGCTTAGATATTTGTCACTTGCCTTCTGAAAACTTAACAAAAATTAAATTATGATTAAGCAATTTGAAAATCCATACAACACAGCATTATGTAGAGGAACTTGGAAATAACCATGGTATGAAATACTGCTAAGGAGGGATTGGAGAAATGATTATACAGTGCAGAGATTGAGTGGAAGGGTGAGAAATGACCACAGAATAACCCCGTCTTGATTTTGTTAGTTTAATAAAGGACAGGGAGAAGCTTGTACAACTTTCAAGATTATATTGTTTTACCTTATTCTAACAAAACAATATTCCTGGAATCACTGTGGTGTCTGTCTCTAGACTGAGCCTACTTTGAATAGTAGGCTGCATTTAATAGTAGAATATTAGTATTAAAATAATGGAACTGAAAGGTAATGGTAAAAAGGAATAATATTCTGATAGTTGTCTCTTGCTAAACAGTATTTTCTGCCTGGGGAGAATTATGGCTTAATTCCTTAGATATTAAAATTGAATACCCTAATACCTCCTTTTATTTATTAAAAATAGTTGATACTAGACTTTTTACTTGGCTTGGTAAGGCAGCTTTTATTTAAGGCAAAGAAATGATGTGATTTTCCTCAGTGAGGTACTCTGAGTTGCTTCAAAGCTTTAACTGTCTATTGCAGGGGTGTCAAACTGCCGGCTCGCGGGCCGTTTGCATCATATGCAGGCCGCGCCCACCTCAGCTCCGGCAATGCAAAAAAAGTTGCGATATGTTGCGACACGTCATGTGATGCGGCGAGTTTGACACCCGTGGTCTATTAGAATTGCTGGAGAAGGCAAAACAGCTGCTTTACTCTCTTTGAAGAAAGGGGGAGGCAGGCTCACTGCAAACTTCAAAAAGATGCTCTATATTAGCAATAATTGAAACAAGTAATCTTTTGGAAGAACTGCAAAAACATATTTTCCGTATCTAGTTACGTATATGCTGGTTTAATTGAGTTCAAGAATAGTAATAATTAATTTTTTATTCTTGTGAGTTATTTTACAGGCAGGTATTATATCAAATATTCTATTCTGTATTGATATTGCTCCAGTTGTACTTATTATGAATACGCTTTTTCTGATATATACTAAGTTATAGAGAAAATATTCTATCTATTCCAAAATCTTAAAAAAACCTCTTGAAACATGATTATGTATGCTGCTTCAGCCAATAATTTTTGAGGTATACAAAAGTCATTGCTTCCTAGCATACATTATTTTATAACATCATAATGTAGAAGACAATAAGTAGTAATAATTATAGCAGCAGCTACAAAAATATTTTTTTATCATAACGGATATAAAAATAACTGTGCAAATGAAAGTACTATTCCCCAAATTTTACAGCCATAGCTAAAACATAATGTTGGTTATATATGACACAAGGCTGTAAATGGGAAACATGAACCAATTCTGTTTATAATATTTACATTCTTAATTTTCCAGGCGTGAGAGGTATGTCGTGTGTGTGTGTTTGTGTGTGTGTGTGTGTGTGTGTCTGTGAAAATAAAAAAGATAAAATGCTTGCTGTCAAATAGATACAATAATTCCATCAAATAATTTTGAGTAAGTGATTTTGACAGCTTTATGGGGAAAGTTTATACTGTAATATCTGATTTAGTAATTTTGAAATCAGTAAAGTCAAAATCATCACTGAGAAAATCACTGTAGATCAAACATGTCAAACTCATGGCATCACGTGATGTCGTGCAACGTATCGAGACGGTTTTGCCATTGCCGACAATGGGGTGAGTGCGGCTTCCGGATGATGCGTCCGGCCCGCGGGCTGGCAGTTTGACACCCCTGCAGATTGAAGGTGATTTTAGAGTGAACTTTTATTATTCAAAAAAACCCTTATTAAAATATTCAAAACTGTCACTGTGAAATCTTTTGCTAATATTTTGTTTCCTCTTTAAAGAGATGCTGTTCTAGTGACAGTATTATAAGGGAAATATTTTTTTAAAACCAAAAAAGATGACTAATAAAAATATAGAAGGCTCAAGCATCATATTGATTTGATTTCTTAATTTAACAGAAATTGGGAGTATGATCATTCAACATGACTGTCTAAAGCTTTAGCTAAGTAGCCCTATGGATTAATCCAGACAGAGTAATGCAAACTGCTGGTTCCTAAAGGAGTGCATTAGTTCAATACATAAAATGTTAGCATAATTCTTAAGATGTGTGTGTAATGGGAAGACAGTTATATTGGGAGTATTTTGTTGTTCAGAAGGCCAATTCCTTTTCTCTTTAATTCATTCTCAGAAGTATGAAGATAGTTTTGCTTGGCATTCAGATATGTATTTCTAATATGGATTTTTGAAGGCACACTCTGAATGTATTGTAGAAAATATCTGTGGTTTCATATCATTTGTGTTTTAGTAGCATTCAGCTGTGTGCTGGATATCACTGGCACATACACCTCATATATCATTTATGATTTGAAAGCCACATGAAAATATTTCTCCGTTTTCAGTATTGTGTGAGTAATGTTCCCACTGAAAACTAATGGAGTGAAGTTGTCAGTATAGTTATTAAGGAGGATGACTTCATAATAAAATAAACCTGTCACTTCAAGCTTTACTTAGCTGACAATAATAGAGGAGGATATGAAGTTCTCTTTAGATAGGATTATATGTATTTGTTGCACAGCAGTGAGAAAGTAAGCAAGGCAATTTTTGCCACATAATTTGAAAAGGGATGCTATTTTTTTAATCTAATCAGATAAGGTAGTTATTCATTCTTAAAAGATGTTATTGTATTTTATTATGTCCATGACATCTGTTATTGAAGAAAATATGCCTAAAAGAGTTAACTAGTATTTCTATTTTTTATACTTAGTCAAAGCAGCTTGGTTTTCTTAGTGTTGGTTTGATTTTGATGCTATCATCTGAAAGTAGTAAAGAAGAAAAATTAAATTCTAATCAAGATAATCCATAAACACTACTGAGTTAATAGCTTTTTAAAATCTAATCAAATGATAATAAAGTATGTACAAATATATAAGAAATTTCCAGTGTGAAAAGATACACAGTTTGTTGGGCATTTTTAAATCCCTATTGTATTAAAGAGTTAAAGTATTTATATATGTGTGTATGAGTGAGAGAGAGAAAGAGAGGGAGAGACATTTTATAAATATAAAATTTACAATTTAATATGTGAATGTGGAAAAAATGAATTAATGTATTAAGAGTATTTATTTTGCTTTTACCCTAGTCTCGGAAAGGGAGTGACCCAGACAAAGAGAAGAAAGGATTGGAGAACAGAGCAGATAGTATTGGAAGCGGTCGTGCAATCTCAATTAAACAGGTACAACCTGTGTATATGTGTGAATGATTTCCTGTACTTTGAGGCACACCTTAGGTCTTAAACACCATGATGCTTGACTACTGTGCCAAGATTTGTTTGATATGCTGTGGTGATGAATGTTGAAGTCACTCACTTGACATCAATTAGAAGAGGTTCCTATGTGAATTAAAATAAGATCATTAGAATAAGAAGAGGGAAAATGTGACAACAGGCCTAATGAAGTGCAGTCTGCCAGCCTGCATATGGAGTGTGCTTCTAGGCTGAGCTGGCTTCAAAGCCTGTCTTTGTAGAAAGTGCTTTGATTGGACCATTTGCTGCCAGTCTACAAGGATAGATCAGCTCACTGTACAAGAGCCCCTTGTGATCACAGAAATAACCCGATGTGGCTCTCATTTGCTGTTGCAGAAGGACATCTGAACATTGTTACAGATTGATTTTCAGCAGTGAGGCAGTTAATTTAAGTCAGCTGTGTACTTTTATTTGTAGTCTGCTAATAAAGGAATCGTAACTCTGTTTGGATGTTTGTATATAAGCAAACATTTACAGCCATAATATCTGGTCTTAAATATCCCTATTATAATGTAGGATTTCAAACTAAGGAATTTCTTTTGTCTGTTTGACTACTAGTATTAACTGCATTAGTGCCACATTCCTAAGATACTGAATATGAAAAGAATTGCATATAAAAAAAAACCCACTTGGATCTTATGAAATCATGTTTAACTGTTCTAACACTTAAATTAGTTATCAATTTTTACATATCATAAATGGAACAGTAATAGTGAAATATTGCAGTCATGTCCCTTTGATTTCTGTTTTCTAGTTTTAAAAGCTTCCTATAATAAAAAAAATTGAGCCAATCATTCCTACACAATTCCATAGGAAAGAAGTGCAGAACTTCTGGTTGTAGTGATATGCTAAATATTATCAGAGATTTTATAAAATATATCTTATTTTTTGCTTACATACTAAAGCAAAGATTGGAATGAAAATCTCAATAAAATTTGTTTATTAAAACTTAATGAATAAATTTATGAAACATCTGGTTCCATGGCCATTAATCTTAATTAATGTATATGGCCTACATAAACTTAAATGTTGGGGAGCAATAGTTGAAGGAAGATAGTTTTAAGTCCTTTTTTCCCCCCAGATTATACTAGCTGGCTATTGTGTAATACTGAATGCTGGATTAGAGAGGCTCCTGGCTTGATTAAGTGTGGCTCTTCCTATTCATTATGTGATTTTAGGAATGCCTAAGCATCCTGTGGCTCATCACCAAAATTAATTTCATTGTCAAAATCCACCACAGATTTAGAGTTTAAGCATCTGCATGAAGATAATAGTTAGGCAGTTCTCTGTGATCTAACTCTATCAAAGAAATAATAAGTAAATTAAGGTATCAGTCTTTAAATTACAATAATTTCCTTATGTCTGTAAAAAAAGTATTGCTCATTCTGAAAACAACAACAATAGTAATAAATACATCACTTTTCCTCTGTTTGTTTCTATTAACATATTACTGTTCTCTTTAATCAATTCAGTTTACTCCCCAATCCTTCAGTCTTTACAAGTAATATTTAAATTAATATAATACTGATTTTCACGTCAATTCAAAAGTAATAGTTGGCAGTTCCAGGGCCTGGGTTGTGTTCCCAATTGTAAGTGATGTAAATGTTTTCATCATTAAATATTCTTCCTTTTTTTTTTTTTGATTGTATGTTATATGGTTTGCAGTTATTTTTTATTTAAGCCAAGGCACTTCTTGCTTCAGCGACAGACATGTTTCAGATTAGATGCTGCCTACTACTTGAGAGTTTTTGTTAAATATAGTTATTATTTTGACTGTATGTTATAAAATAAAAAAAGAAAAGGATTTAGATATTCTGGTGTTTTTCTTCATCTCTAGATCAGAGGAAGATGATAATCAGTGATAATCCAAATAGGACAGAAATTTAAGGCCAAATTTATTATGAAAACTGAAGAATTTAGAACTGTTAATCTCCATTCTTTATAAACATGTGTAATTATTATTGGTTTATGGAAGAATAAATGTCTAGAAAAAAAAATTCCTAAAATTTCCTACTGTAGAATACATAAGATCACACAAAACATATGCTTTGTTTAGAATAATGAGTTTTTGATTTCCTGTTTCTAACTAATCTGATATACGATAAATCCAGATATAGAAAAATAATTTAACATTGTCAACTATAAAACTGCTTTCATTTTTGGGATAAGTTATACAACTTCACAAACAAAAATCATATAGTATAAAATTATATACTGTAAAATTATATAGTTTTATACTTTTTATAATGCTAGTGTAAAATTATAAACTGTAAAATTATAACCTTGATAGTAGATTAGTGAAGTTTTTCCTTCAGTATTAGAATTTTTCAAAAACCAAGGCACCAGATTGCTCTATCTGTCTGTCTGTCTGTCTGTCCGTCCGTCCGTCCATCCATCCATCCATCCATCCATCCATCCATCCATCCATTCATTAAAATATGTATTTAGGGATCAGGCCTCATGTACTGCAGAATGTACTCATTAATGATAGTATAACAAGTTTAGAGAAAATACTAGATACAAATATATACCAGTATCCCATCCAAATATCTGATCAAAATAATTTGTTTTTCAAAATGATTAAGTATGAAGTTGCAGTAGGATTACTGCAATACAGTGTTATATGTAACTATGTAACATGTTTAGACATACCAGTCATATTTCACAAGCACACTATGGCTAATGTTCATACCAGTTTATTAGATTTAGACAAACAACAAATTTAAGATAACGCAGAAAGGGAAAAGAAGTGTGAAAGAAATGTAAAAGTGAGACATAACCAAAGTTTGGGAGCAGATAAATTGTAAATAGTATTTAGCATGAAGATTCAATAAGGTGTTTTAACATTATTATTGCTAATGTAAGTGTGTAATATCTCATTACGTTATTTATTTCTTTTATGTCCCATCTTTATTATTTTGATAAATAACTCAAGGCGATGAACATATCTAACACATCTTTCTCCAGAATCATGAGTGTAGAATCCACCAGTGGGTAATCTCAGCCTTCCTGCTCAGTTGAGACTAAGTCAGAAATTTGCCACGCCTCCTTCTGGGTGGACCTTGCCCAGTTTTTGACTTAGTCTTAGCTCAGCAGGATGCAAATTATTTGGCTCCTCTGAACAGATTAGGTTTGATTAGTTAGTTTCCTATTTAAATTACAAATTTGATGATCAATTTGGCTACTTTGAATACTGATTCCAAATTTCTTCAAATTGGGGACTCTGAACCAAGTGTCAGGCTCAGCTTGCAGCTGACTACAGCCTCGGCTCTAACGAGCCTCACAGGCTCTGTTTCAGGGGCTTTCGCGCTGTTGGACTCTTTGCCGATAAGCGCGCTACAGCTGTTTTGCCCATAACTTGCCTGGCAATCCCCTGGGGAATCCCTGAGAGGCCGTTCAGCCTCAACCGGTGTTTCCCTCACACGGAGGCTTCCTGCACATCGCTGAAGGTCCGGATCACAGTGGAGCTGTGCAACGCCTTAAAAAAACTGCAAGTGCCTTCTCTGTTCCCCTCTGGACGAGGGGAGAAACCCGAACAGCCGATTCAGCTCCCTGGGGTGTTATAGTGTTATAGTGTTATAGTGGCTGTTATTTTGTGTGAACGCCATTTTGAATGCCTAATGAGGCACAGCCGCCATTTTTGAGGCCTAACAAGGCATGGCCACCATTTTGGAAGCCTCCTCACTAATCTCACTCTCTTTGTTTGCTTTCCAAATTTCTCCTGCCGTAACAGGCACGGATCGGAGGGCATCATCTAAGGCCGTGGTCGCCTCTCATCGCCTCAATACAGGCTCAGACTCAGTGACGCTATTGCCATTTTGAGGCCTTCACAGCCTCGACTCTCAGATGAACTGAAAGGCCTTGAGATTCTGGACAAGATAGCAGATCCCCTCAGGCACAGATTTATAAAACTGCAAGTCCCCAATGTCATCTTGTTAAAGCCATAATAGTTTGTAATTGTGAATTACTATCATTATCATTATAATATTATTGTCACAGATAGTTTCCTTTAAGAGAGGGAATTTTGGTCGGACCCCACCTGTCCCATCTAGCCGGTGTGGCGCTGTGCTGCAAGGCCTAGCAGACAATTTTAGATAATTGTCTGGCTGTCTACCATTGCTGTTGTTCAGAACGTGAGGTTTTACCTCTCTGACAACTTGATCTGCGTACTTCATCCCTCCTCACTGGACATCTCCTTTCCGGAATATCCAGGGTGCAATGGCAGACAGTTCAGCCTTTCAGCCATCACAGGGCTCTTCTGTTCACCCCAAAGGAAAAAAGCACAGATCATCTGAATTGGTAGCGGGGAGAACCACTAAATCTAAGGCAAAGGCCTCGTCCACAAAGAAGCCCCCCAAGGCAGCTGAGAGGAAGGCCTCAAGGAGACATCAGGCACTGGAGAGGGAGTTCTCCGGAGTCCAAAGGCTCACTTCCAGTGGGACAGATGTGGTTTCCCCCCTTCCACTGGACCGCTCACCATTTGAGCCTCAATTTGCACCTTCACAGGATGCCACTAGGGCATGGTCTCCTCGGGGAAACTGGACAGGTAGGTCCCCCTCTCCCAAATCCCCAAGGGAATTTCCCCCCCCCCAATACCACAACCTCCAGAAGCCACATATACCACTACGGCAGCTGGCATTCGCCCCTCAGACCAACAGGGCACGTGGCTGGAACAATTTCAGATCTTTATGAACCAGGCCTTTGCGCAATTCAGGGCCTCCTCCATGGGTCAACAACCTTTACAGATTCCCCCTCCCCCCCTCAAACAGACCCTACACAGTTACCTGGCTCGGACATCTCAGATACATCCTCCTAGTTAGGAGAGGAGGGATCCGAGATCTTTGAGACCTCGGACTTACCCATGTAAGAAGATGAGGAGGCCATGCCAGATACATCCCCGACATCGGGGCTCTTTGATCCTTCCCTATTTA